TGAGGAGTTATTGTATATCTGGCGATGACTCTTGTTTTCGGACACATTAGTTATTAGTTTTAAGCAAAAAACGTAAGTGCCATTGTTGATTAGATCTACCAAAACTCAAGATTACATTATACAGTGCAGTATTTGATTGTCAAGAATAATATATCCATATATTTGATATGCATCAATAAAGACGACAAGCACAAGAGGATCTGTTGTACATATCCACAATTGTTGTTTTTTCATAAATGATCTAACTCATGAGTATTATATATATATATTAATAAAACGATCATTTTATTTTTTAATTCAAATTTTATTATGCATTGTATTTAAATGAAAGAAAAGACTTTATTCTAATGTACTTTTTATTTATAGAAATTTTGCTCTTATATAACTGAAATTGAGAGCTGATTGTGAATATAGCAAATAATTATTAAATTTATTATGTCTTAAATTAGAAAAGTCTTTCAATCAATTCTATATACTTATTTTCTTATAAGACCTTATTTAATAAGTAAGAGAATTTGTTTTTCTTGTATGGAATCCTATTGAGAAACATAAAAATCGATCAAAATATGTTAATATTAATCTAAATAGAGTGTGAAAAAATGATTTCGTAATTCTAAATAAAAGTAGAGGAAAATTGAACATCATTTTCTCAGGATCAATCTATTAGTGTTAGAGATATACGTGAAAAGATTTTTATTTTATCAACATCATCCACTTATGAATCGTTTTCGATAAAAAAATATAGATTTTGTTCAAAAGTTTGTTCAAGTTTAAAAGAAAAGTATTTTTCTTGGAAATGAAAATTTAATTATTTACACAAAATAACTATGACATTTGTTAATTATATTTCGTAGAAAATAGATATTATATGGAACAGATTTTTATTAATCGAAGAATAAATATTAGGATGAAATAATAATTTAAAATAATTCTAAATATTTGTCTCAATTAAGAATTATTTTATGAATATATAAAGAAAAATATTTATTCTACGCGAGGATTTCTAATAGTGCATAGTAATCAAGAGGAAGCTTTCTTTTTTGTCTGGACTGATAGTAAAATGAAAACTCTATTTTCCTATGAGATATTTATATTAATACTCATTTAAAACAGAAAGACTAATGAGTATCTTTTGAATAACTTTTCATAGAAATAAGGTAGAAAGATGCAGTGTTCACTCTTCCACAAACTAGATGACGACACATGGAATGGTATATTTTTCTCTCAGATTTAAAAAGAGATGCTGTGAAAAATGATATCTTTTTTTTTTTTGAGCATCAATGTTAATGTAACCATCAGATATCATAATAAAATGTAAAAAAAATATATATATTTAAAATTTTCCCTTTTTCTATTCTTTATCTCTATTTCAGGATATGCACTGCATGAGTTATTACTCAAATTGACGGCGAATGTATTGTTTTTATCCACCGTTTCGTTCAATCATCGTTCGTTTTGCTACAATGGCGAGTGCACGACATGCAAGTTATCTTTACACATTCGAGATGAAAACTCAGACGAATTGAACATGAAATGTTTAAAGACGACAAAGATATCGTGCACTCAATATTTCATTGCTTGACAAACACCGGTCGTTATCATGCGCTGCGTATTACGATTCCGTAACGTCGACGTCGTCTTTTATCGCGTCTTTCCGTTTTCATATCTTATCTTTCTTCTATTTCTACTACTTCTCGTTCTTCGTAACAGAAGAATAAAAATAATTTTCTAACTAATGGAGCTTTTGAGGGTGGCTCTAAAACAAATCAACCTTCCCAGGGATATCCGACGTTCTGTTGGTGACCCGTGCAGATGGTAGGCCTTCACAACATACATCAATGTATGTATGAATAGAAGCGTCCATTTCGTCGTCGTCTTTTCGAAGATGATGATCATGGTCGTACTATTCATACGTACATCGATGTATGTTTGGCTAACCATTGCCGGCTTTGTCCACTGTATGAGCCAGCGGAATACGGAGGGTATCTCTGGTCGCGCGTGCGCGAAATTTTGCAGCTGCTGCGCTTTGGCGAGCTTGGATTTCAAGATGACCATTTTATTTTCTCTTTAAAATCGAAAAAAAGAACAATTACATTTTCTTTTTTACATTGCCAATGTTTCTTTTCGATTGTGCGATATGTGGATGATTGGATGGAAGTGATATTTGTCGTATCTCAAGTCCTTTTTGCAGAAATGAGAGTGCTTTTGGGTACTCGCCCATGTTATAATACACCGACCCGATGTTGTTGTAGGAAGCAGCCAAGTCGGGATGATTCGGAGGGAGAGCTATTTTACGGATTTCAAGTGATCGT